ATTACAGGTATACAGAAAACAGCTGCTACTGTTCAACTTTAGTCTTAAAGGACCAGTTCTGTGTGAAAGCACATGGCAAAGAGAATTTGCAAACCCATCCTCCAAGCAGTAGACAAAACGGAGCTTGTGCAGAACAAGCACATATGGGTAGGAAGGATCTCGCTCTTAGTTTTTATTGTTACTCTTCAAATATGATATTTTTATTTGCTTCTAAACCAAACACCAGACCTCAGGGGATAAAGTTCTTGGGTTTAGAACAGTCACTGGTGAGCTGCAGATCCAGACTGACAAGCACATCATTTACTGGCAAAGGCCATGATCTGCTCCTAGAGTGGAAAAGAAAAAAAAAGTCACTTGTAAATTGATGAAAAAATATATTTAGAAAAGACAGAAAAAACAGCTGCATTCTCCTCACTTTTACCAAACTAAGTAAGGTTCCTTCATCACTGAGGGACAAGGAAACAAAGCAACTAAGCACAATCTAATTATCCAGGCCACCTAGGAAAGCTGGCAAAAGACAGAGATGAAATACCCCTTCTGTAGCGAGCACCCTGAACCCAGGGTTGACCCAGCAAGAAAGGCTTTTCATGCTTGCCCTAGCTTCACATTAGACCATATGAAAACAAGAAGGCACATCAGCACAGTGAAGCAGCAAGCGTTCCCTTTAGTACCCACCAAAGGCATCCACAGAGCCCTGGATGCTTATTCTAAAGTGTCTGTTCAGCCTGCGACCAATTAACAAATACCTTCAAAGAAAACCCACTTCTCAGTGTAATGCTCTAACCAACCACCAGGCAATGGGCACTCTCCAATCCCACTCAAAGCTGGCTCATGAAGCCAAGAAGGGAAGGGGTATGACTCAGAGAGAGACATGCTGCCTTGGAAAAGGGAGGGCCTTGGGTTGTGGCTCTGGCCCTTACCTCTAATGGGGTTAGAAACTCACCCACTGCTGCTTATACATTGTAATGGAAATACATTACAAGCAGGGGACAGAAAAGCCATTGTGGACCAGAACCTGACCCCAGGACCCCTCCCTTGCAGGGCAGTGCTGGGAGCTCTTTGTTGGTGCTAGACCGAAAACAGCAGCTCTGTTTTGAAAAACATTTCAAAGATTTGAAATTAATTTCCATTCCACAACACAACAGACCCATGCAGGGGTGACACGTAGGGGGTGCGTGCGTGTGGACGTGCACCCCCTGCAAAAGGGCGCCACTGACACTGTTAGTGGTGTCTGCAGGTGGTCACCGCTCACCACACTGCTGTCTGCAGGTGGCCCCTGATCGTTCCTTGGCCGCCGCCTTCAGGTGGTTGCCGGCCCGTGGTCAGCACTTGCCACCCCCACCCACCGCTGACAATGCCAGCGGTGGCTGCAGGAGCTCCCTACTCACTGCCGCCAGGCTCCTGCCACCACCGGCGCAGCCGTGTCCCCCCAGCCACTGGGGGCGCACACTGTTCACAGACCCATGGCTTTTCAAACTCCATACCATAAAAACATGAGGGTGCAGAAGTCTGAGCCAGCCCAGAACAGCTCACTAATTAAAGTATTTCACCTGGTGTTCAGCATCAGTTTCTTTCCATCTATCCTGTTGCAGCTGTTAAACTATGTATAAATATTCACTGGGCCAGAAAGAAGCTGGCTCTATAACCAAGGCTACGGGAATCTGGATTCCAGTGCTTAATCTAAATAAGGAAGAGTAGGCACTCCAACCTGGGCCCCACACATCTCAGGTAAGTGCCATAATCACTCGGCTGCTGGCTATTCTGGAGTCTCTCCATTTCACCCTCAACCTGACAGTCCTCACTTTGGACAAACAGGTATTTTCCAACAAAGAGGCTCCATCCAAAAATTCCAACCAGTTCTACTCTTTGTGACATCACAAACTGGTTCAGAATCTGTGTATGGTTCTCACTAGTCAGACTTCTTACTTTGACTGGAGACAGGGCATTTGTTGTTTGCAATCCCCACGTCCTCAGCAGTACAAAGGGCGCGACACTTGTGGAGTAGAGTCTCTTCAGCAGGTCGATAGCAGTCATCAATGAAACATTGTGCCTCTGCCGTTCTGTCTCAAACTGGAGGAGGTGTTTCATGGAACCTGGAAGACAGTACTTGGTATTAAAACATTGTAAGGGTGCCACTGGGCACCCCAGCCACAGGATGAGCTCCACAGGCACCTGAACCCAAACATAAGCAGGCTCTGAACCCTCTACCTTCATCTTAATAAGGTACAGGGATGCACCAACAGAGATTTTGGGGGCCGATAGCAGATCTGATTTCCAATACAGCTGCGTCCAATTGGTAAGTCTGTTGTGGTGAAAGCAGTGTGGGGAGGGAAGGGGTGTGGGGGTGCAGATCAATGCCCCCACATGGTGAGGGAGGGAGCGGGGCTTGGGCAGGTGCAGGATGAAGCTGTGACTCATCAGGTGGGGGGGGCGGGCCCTCCCTCTGCTGTTCCTACCATTCGCCTGGCAGGGCATGGGAGAGGGTGTGTACCCCTGGATCTGCACTGGAGGGGGCGCAGGGCAGGCTGCAGCTGTGGGCTGGGGCCCACGCTGCACTCGGGGCGGGTGGCAGCAACACTGGCAGAGGGCTACAGGAGCAAAGCTGCAGCCACTCCAAAGTTTGCTGTAGCCCTGCACCCCCATCACCACCTGCTCTGAGCACAGCATGGCCCCCAGCCCACAGCTGCAGCCCACCCCGTGCAGATCTGGGGGCACACGCCCACCCCCCGCACAAGCAGCAAGAGCAGTGGCAGGAGCAGCTGGACGAGCCACCGGATAAGCGGCTCCCAGACAGGCAGCGCACAGTGGCGGGAGCCATGCCCCCCCCCCCGGACAAGCCACAGCTGTGTCCCATGCCTTCCCCAGCCCCACTCCCTCCCTCACCGCAGGGGGCATTGATCTGCCCCTCCCCACGCCTCTTCCCTCCACCATCTCCTTCCACCACAACAGACTTACCAGCTGCACACAGCTCTCCAAGCTGTCGGGCTGTGCTCCTCACTGCAGCTGTGTGCACGCATGGGCATTTATGGGTCAAATTATCAGCCACATCTGGCCTATTTCCAATATAGTCAATTTTCTTTATATCAGTGCTGATCCAATATCAGACTGATGTATCAGTGCACCTCTAATAAGGTACCATCCTGTCAACAGGCAGGAAGGGCCAAGAGTTTCTTCAGCTGCACTTTACTCCCCACCCCCATGCAGCTCTGAGCACTTAGTGTGCAGAATGGAACATTTACACTTTTGCAAATTAGGCAGCATAGGGCAGAGGTTTGGAGAAGGGAACTGCATCCAAAAGCACATCTCTTAGTGATTGCTGCTCAGCCAAAGGAGACCTGAACACCTGAGCTAATTCAAGGGTGCTCAGGTTACAAGATTGGGAAGCGCCTAAGATCTGTCCAAAACACAAATCAAGTGCAGTGTAGGGCAGGGATTGTCACCAGGGGAAGCCCAGAGGAGAAAAAAAGATACTCATTTCATTATTGCCATAGATTATTCCATATTATGTTATACCCTTACCCAGATCTTTCCCATCAAAGGCTGCCATGCTGAGGTGATGTGTCAAGCATGCAATATCTCCAAAGCCCATATTTACACCCTGTCCTGCTAGTGGATGGACTCTATGTGCTGCATCCCTAAGGGAAAAGAAGAGAGAAACTCACCTCAAACAAAGAAGTGAGACAGTTCACATTTTCTTCCCCAGTAAGCCCATGGCCCCTCATTCTACCTTCTCACAGCACAACACACACCTGAATCAACACCCTCATCACAACACTGAACAGCCTCTGGGAGCTTCTTCAATGGTGAGATGGGTAAAGAACTTGGTAAAGGGAAGATGAATGTAGGCAGTGCTGAAGGCAGGTTACTGGTGGAGTTCCTCCAGGACTGGGCTTGATACCAATCTTATTTAATATTTTCATTAATAACCTTGGACCAGAGAGTAGGACTGTGTTGATGAGTTCTACTGATGACAAAGGCAGGGGCTACTATCAATACACAGAAGGCCTGGAATTGAATACAAGAAAAAGCTGCAATTCTGAGGACTGGCATACCAGAAATAGAATTAAATTTAGTATAGAATGCAACATCATGCACTTAGCCATTAAAAATAATTCTTTTCATAAGCTGGAGGCTCCTGCATTGAAACAGAGTGGGGAACAAAGGGTGCACTATCTGATTTCAAGATAATTTATAAAAAAATCAAAAACAAATTGGATTGATGGCTGAAAACTGTTTTAGAGCACATTTGATGATGTATTTCCAGCAGAGACAGGAAAATATCAGTGTCATTGTAAAGGGCCCTTGTGAAACATCACCTGGAATAGATTCATAGTCAGAAGGGACCTCAGTGGGCCATCTAGTTCGACGCCCTGCTCCTGGCATGCAAGAAAAGAGTCACCAACCCTGGGGTCATGTGATCCCAGCCAGGTGCCTGTCCAGTCTCCTCTTGAAGACCCCCAAGGATGGGGTGAGCACCACCTCCCTAGGAGCCCATTCCAGAGTCTAGCAACCCTGACCGTGAAGAACTTTTTCCTAATGTCCAGCCTAAACCTTCTCTCTAGTAGCTTATAGCCATTGTTCCTTGTTGTTCCAGGGGGTGCCCTAGTGAACAGATCGTCGCCTACTTGTTGTTGCTCTCCCCTTATGAATTTGTATGCCGCCACAAGGTCCCCTCTCAGCCTTCTCTTGGTGAGGCTGAAGAGGTTAAGGTCCTTAAGAATACTATGTGCAATTCTCATCACCTGTAGTCAAGGAGGATAAATTCAAATTCAAACAGATGTAGAGAGAATGTAAGGAAATGGGAGAGGTTATCACACAACAAGAGACTAAAAGAGTTTGGCTTGTTTAGCTTAGCAAAATGGAGGCTGTCATCTTTCTCTACCTATGCCTACGGAGGGACAACTATTTCAGCTAAAGTTCCTTATTCTCAGAAGAACAAAAGAGTAAAAACTGGCCATGAAGAAAATTAGGCTGGAAATCTGAAGAAGGTTTCAAACTATAAGAACAGTGAAGTTCTAGAGTAGCCTCCCAATCAGTCATGGAGGCATGAAACTTAACTGATTTTGAGATGGAGCTTGATTAGTTTTTTTGAACTGGATAACATAATTTGGTTGCCTCTGATAGCAAAGAACTGGATTAGATGACCCAGGAGGTTTCTTCGAGCCGCATTCTCACTTAACGCTCATCATCCACTGTATTGCACCCACTGATGGGGTCTTCCTTTAAATAAAGGCTCTAGTCAATGGCTCCAGAAACAATCCACTTTCTCCATTCATTAATTTGAGTGAAGGATGCATCTAGGTCTGGAGTTATCACCCTCCCTTGATAATCTTTACTTCTGCTCCAGAAGACTGCGCTGCTTGCATCATTCCCCAAACAACATATGCTATGTTCCCCACCAAAGCCACCAGGACTCGCCATGAGGCAGCTCACCCAATAAGTGCCACACGGTGATGGACATACTCCATTGCATGTCCCAAACCAAGAGGGAACATAGCTCGGCTCTTTGGATCCACTTTGGCAACACTTGGTGGCAGCTGACGGATTGCAGACCCCGATGGCATCAGGAGAGAAAGGGCAGACCGGAACACAGCACCAGCAGTATCAATGAAGTCCGAGTGGTTTATGTTGCTCCACTGCAAAACATCAATAAAGATTTGTTTATATAGTGTCCTGGCTTCTGGGGTTGCAGCAAGATTACTAATGGCTTGTTTGATGTAGCACCTCCAATGTGAAAGGTACTGCAGAACCACACAGGAGGCAGAGTCCCTGCTCCAGGAGCACATTTATCCTTTACACCAGGGGTGTCAAACACAGCCAGCCCCCCAGGCCAGATCTAGACCTGGCAGCAGTGCAGGAGCTAACTCAGTTACTGTGTGGGCCCCACTGCCAACATGTCCCAACAGGGCTCTATATCCGGGAAATCAGCAGTGGGCCCCGTTCCCAAATTCCCGGCCCTTCCAGAAGCGCCACAGGATTGGTAAAACCACCTCACAGGCTAGATCCAGCACACATCTTTGACACCTGCGTTACACAAACACAAATGCAACGTGGCCTGATGCAGAAAAAAAGGCAGGCCCCAAATACATAATTCTAACAAAACCGAAAACACAACTGCCCAAGAGAACATACAAGTCAGATCGCAGATGAAGAAGGGTCTGGTCTCTTTAAAAGCAGCTCAGTCTCCATTGTGGCCATCAGCAGTAATTACAATTACAATTACAAAGAGTGAATCCCTCTCTGAGACACCTGTTCTATGAACTCTCCACTCTGGAGTTGCCTGAGATATCCTACATTAACTCCCCTGCTTCATAATTTGGGGCAGATATTTTTTGATTGATAAGTATATTTAAAAATGTCACCCTGTAATTCTACTAATAGAAAAGTGAATAAAAATGTAATCAAAGTAAAATCATAAGAGTATTTAAAACTAATATTCCTATCTAAAGCAGACATTTTGTCCACTAGTTAGACAGCCTGGTTATAATCCATGCTATTTTTCTAAGAACCAGTTACAGAAAACTGAAGAGTCTATGCAGTTCTACTTAAAGAAGAGATGATAAAGACTAGTTACCAGCAAATATAAAGTGATGCAAAGCCAAAAGCTTCCTTAATGCAGAGTAACAAGATTGGAATGACAGAAGACTCAAAATCCAGAGATGCTTGGAGCTTTCAGTGAAGGAATACAGAGCTTGAAGTTAAAGGCCTTGTTACCCTTTGTGAAAATATACTGGAGGTGGGAAATACTAGGATAGGGCACCTTCCAGGAATGACTGACTCAAATGAAAAAAGTTGTAAGTGCCCTAGGAGCATGAGATGACACCTCCCTTGTTATTATCCTCACTCAAAGTATACACTAATAGGTTCTGCACATAAATACAGATTGGCGTGTTCTTCTATAACATGAGAAAACACAAGATAGTGGGGAAGTGCACCAAGGATTGGAGAGTAAGCTGCAGGAAACTGACTAGACATTTCTATGCGTAACAGTGGCTGTGGTTGGTTCCACGTACTGCTTACCCTTGAAGCTCTCAAATTAAAGAAATAACAGGGTTCAGCTTTTAACATTACTAAGGGGTAATACCTGGCAGTAGGTTTTTCTGCTAAGTCAGCTTGATGCTACTCCTAGGACAAGCTTATCATAGGCAAGGTCCATACAACATGCCAGAACAAGCTAAGAGCCCTCCCTATCCAGTGTCCTGGTAGAAGTAGTCACTTCTAGATTAATCTGGGAAGACTTAAATCTCCAATTATGCACTCACCTGAAATTATGTGAGACACAAGGATTTCTTAGGGAGATATCTTTTATCTGAACTACATAGTTGGTCCAATAAAGTTACACAAGCTTTCGAATGCAAGATGCTTCCTCAGGTCTTTGATCACAAGGAGCCAGGCACAGTATAGCATTCCAAGAAAGAAGCATTTGTTCCTACCTCCAATTCAGATGATTATATCTTGAAGTACCTCTGGCTACTGTCACTTGAGAGGCTATTTTTATTCAAAGCAGCCACCTACTGTTTTGAGTCTTATTAAAACATTTCCCCCAAAAGTATGCAATCTGCCATGTTTTACAAGTTCCTCCACCTGGGATCTCTTGAACGTACGTTAACAACCTTTAATAGAAGCAGGGCATTGGCTCCCATGGTTTTCCCACTTTACCTGTAACAGGCTAGGATATTATGTCTTGTGTTATGTCAGGGTTGACCGTAGTTTTAAGAAGAGTTAAAATTATGGATTTGTATGAGATGGTTTGGATAGGGATGATCCTGCCTCAGGCGGGGGTTGGACTAGATGACTTTTAGAGGTCCCTTCTAGCTCTGCTTCTCTATGTTTTCTAGGATATGCTGCACTAACACAAATTACTTTTGACTCATTTTAACATTGCCTTAATTTCACAGAGTTCCTTCATAAAATGAGATGGAATAAGGAGTGAAAAATTGTATTTTATCATGTACACCACACACTTTCTCCAAAAACAGCTGCTAGAAACTGGAGTGCAAATATACAGTAAGAGCAGGTTCTGCTGCTTACTGGGTGAAACAAAGTAAAATTTGCAGGATCCACAGGGAGCAGAACAATGACCAGGCTGGACTCCCTAGCTGCTGCTACGCAGTTACTTATTATAAGGAAAGATCTTTTTTCTTCATAAAACAAGGTGCATATTATATTCCAGGGCATGTTGCATGCAAGAATATATGGTAGCTTTCTTGGCACCATTCTTCGATTTGCTGGACTCTATCACAGCAACAAAGTCAGCTCAATCTCCACAGCATGGAATGTTGATATACTCACAAAGGCAGAGTTGATGCTATCCACAAAGCTTTCTTCATCCATACTGAGAAGCTGAGATGCATGTTCATGAGATGTGGACCAAACCAAAGAGCTGGCAGTGTCAGACAGCTGCTCCAAGAGAACCACAGAGTCAGTATCAAGGAAGACAAAAGACCAATCTACGCAAGTTCATGAATCTACCCACATTCCTCCTACACAGTACATAATCCATGCAAGGACCCTCACTCCACCACCCTTCCACTGAAATGTATAGGTACTGCAGACCCAAAAATCCAAACAGAAATTACATAAATCAAGACAAGAAACAGAGTTATAGAAAGGTGAGTCCTTAAGAAAACAGGCTACTTACAGACCTTCATAAAACACCCAAAAAACAGCACTTTACTTTGAGCTTGGTGCATTCCCGCACCAAGTACAGAACATTCCCAGAACAGGCATTGCATTAGTTTGATCTGACTCACCCGACGTCTAATAGCTGACTGAATCAGCTTTACATAAAAGTGCCAAAAAGCCCTGCTAAAGCACCTGGATCCATACAGACACTGGGGAGCCAGGTTGAACTAACATGCTTCCTTTTCTGGTAAAGTGCTAACATAGCAAGGCACAGATAGGAAGAAGCAAAGTCATCAAAACAAAGGGCTCCTCTACACGTGCGCAGAGCCTGCTTTGATGAGCAGACTCAATTAATCAAGTCTGCTGGAGCAAGGAAATTGACAAGCTCCAGCAGCCTTCCACGTCAGGTGCACCAGCATCGCCATGCATCTCAGCATTGAAAAAGTGGCAGCAGGTGCTTTAAACTAAAATACGTTTGATGAGCTTTAGTTCAAAGCACAATGCTACCATATTTTCAGCACGGGGACACGCAGCGACACTGATACATGTGACGTGTGGGTACTTTTAATGAGTGCAGCTTGCTAATTAAAGCACCCGGTAATGTGTCCTACAGCACACGTAAAAATATCTAAAATGATCAAAGTGGGAAAGGGTAGGGTGCCTGTAGATGTGAAGGGAGGCTGTTCTAACCCACTGGAATTACAGCGCGTTGAGCAGACGCGATAATCGCCTCTGCTGGGACGTGCCAACTAGTGTGCTCCAGCCAGCCTCCGCATCTTGTGTATCAGTGTTCCTGCACTTCAAAATGGCAGCAGGGGTACTTTAACTAAAGCTCATTTTGATGAGCTTCAAACCATTTTGAAGCACAGGGACACTGATACACAAGATGCTGCAGGAGCTTTAATTAGAGTGCCTCACAGAGCCGCTCTAATTAAAGCACCCCTACCCCTGAAGCACATTTAAAAACACCCACAGAAAGCACAGAAGTCACCAAGTCACTTACTGGGAGAAGAGCAATTGGCCCTGATGGAAGGAATCTTTGCCATGCTACGTTGTTGTCTGTGGCCTAAAGCATAAGGAAACAAGGGGCTGATGAGAACCGCAGATCCTGCCTCACCTGTTTAATTGGTTTAGCTGCTGCAGCTCAGGAATACCTTGTTTGTGGGACCTCACCTCAGACAAGTGAAGAGTAGCAACCACAGCTGACTGGTCATACTGAAAGCAGACATCTGGAATTCCAGCTGCTTTCCGGACCATGGAATTGTGACCATCTGCTCCAATCTGTAAGGGAATGGGAGACAAGCACGTCTTTACCAGCTTAAAAAAAACAAAAAAAAGTCAGAGTTCCAGCCCATTATCTATAGTGCCCAAAGGCATTCCCTCTCCATTTGGTTAGGTGATTTTTTTTAATTACATGAAGTGGCCACTATAGCCCTGCTCTACCTCAGCACAGTCCCTTTCAGCCCATGACAGCCCAAGATGCAGGCTTCACTCCTTAGCACCACTGACTCAGTCAGCAACTCACCTCACTCAAACCCTCCATGCTGGTGGAGCAGCACCACCCATGGAATCTCAACCAAATCCAGTGCAAGGACTTGGGCAAGAGATGGTGCCTGAGCAGCAGAAATAAAAGCTTTAGTTACCAGCAGTTTGGTCTGGAGTCTGCGTCCATCAGCTAAATCAATTTGCACCCAAGGACTTGTGTCAGAGGTGTGATAGGGAAGGGCCCAGGAATACCCGACTGCTCTGCTCCTGTAGAAGACCTCCACCCGGTCTGAGGAGAACACAAAGGATCTGGGTCAGAGCGCAGTATAGATATAAAAAAGGAAAACTGCTAAGACAGAAAAAAGCCAAAGCATTCTACACAACACAGAGCTGACCCCCTCCAGATTCCAACTTTTGGGGCCCAAGGGGAGAATTTATCTGCCCAAGCCCTCATCACTGCAGCATCTGAATATGTCCCAAACATCTGAACTATGCAGAAAGCTGAAGATATCTCCTAAAGCACAAGCAAACAAGCATGCAACTATAGGCCTGTCAGTCTTACCTAAATCCTGGGGAAACTCTTTGAGAAGATCATCAAGGAGCACATCTGTGATGGGCCGGCATCGGGGATGATGCTCAAGGGCAACCAGCACGGTTTCATTAGGGGCTGGTCATGACAAACCAACCTGATTGCCTTTTACGATCAGGTCACAAAAGCACTGGATGCAGGTGTCACCGTGGATGTGGTCTTTCTGGACTTCAGCAAGGCCTCTGACACTGTCGACCACCCCATCCTCATTAAAAAACTAGGCGACTGTGGCATTGATGCCTACACGGTCAAATGGATTGCAAACTGGCTGAAGGGTCATACTCAGAGGGTGGTGGTAGACAGGTCATATTCGACCTGGGGGGAAGTGGGCAGCAAAGTCCCCCAGGGCTCGGTCCTTGGGTCCGCACTGTTCAATTTCTTTATCAGCGATTTGGACAATGGGGTGAAAAGCAACCTGTTTAAATTTGCTGATGATACCAAAATTTGGGGTAAGGTGGGCACACTAGGAGGGAGGGAAAGACTGCAGCAAGACCTGGACAGGTTGCAGGGGTGGGCTAACAAAAACAGGATGTGTTTCAATAGTGACAAGTGCAGGGTGCTGCACTTGGGTAGTAGTAACCAGCAGCACACTTATAAGATGGGAAACTCGCTTCTTGAGAGCAGGGAGGCAGAAAGGGATTGTGGAGTCATCATTGACTCCAAGATGCACATGGGCCGACAGTGCGAGGTCACGGTCGGCAGCGCTAACTGGACCTTATTGTGCATCCACAGGTGCATCTCAAGTAGGGCCAAGGAGGTGATCCTCCCCCTCTACGCGACACTGGTCAGGCCACAGCTGGAGTACTGTGTCCAGTTCTGGGCACCCCACTTCAAGAGGGATGTGGACAACATTGAGAGGGTCCAGAGGAGGGCCACCCGCATGATCCGGGGACAGCAGGGCAGACCCTACAATGAGAGGCTACGGGACCTGAACCTGTTCAGCCTTCACAAGAGAAGGCTGAGGGGGGACCTGGTGACCATCTATAAACTCACCAGGGGGGGACCAGAAGGGTTTGGGGGAGACCTTGTTTCCCCTAGCGCCCCCGGGGATAACAAGGAATAACGGCCACAAGTTGTTGAAGAGTAGGTTCAAATTAGACATCCGTAAGAACTACTTCACAGTTAGGGCGGCTAGGATCTGAAACCAACTTCCAAGGGAAGTGGTGCTGGCTCCTACCCTGGGGGTCTTTAAGAAGAGGCTTGATGCCTACCTGGCTAGGGTCATTTGAGCCCAGTTTTCCTCCTGCCCAGGCAGGGGGTCGGACTTGAAGATCTACAAGGTCCCTTCCGACCCTACTTCTACGATTCTATGAATACTTGGTAAAAGACCCAGGCTAAAGGGTTCAGACAGAGAAGGATCCCTTCTCAACCCTTGCCCCTCTCTGCCTACCTCCAACCTTTCCCTAAGCCTCAGTTATTTGCTGGACAGATTTCTTCTTCTTTCTTTCCCAAGACCCTTCTGAATGCAACTTACTGAAAGTTCCTATGTGGAGAAAAAAAAACTAAGGAACTGCCACCAACCTGATACTGCTTCTAACTGCTTGGTCAGAGCAGACATAATGACATCATTTTCCACTATATAGCCCATGTCTTCTAAGTTGTCCTTATCAAAGATGATCATGGCTTCTGAACAGGCATCCCACACCTGGAAAAGAGCAGACACATGCTAAATGGAGCTGTACAACGAATAAATGCTGCCTCTATCAGGAACTGCACACAACTCTTCTATAATAGGGAAAGGGAATGGGCAAGCAGAGGAATGATGGACTGGAAGAAAACCTCCTGAGTCAAAGAGTCCAATCATTTGCTGTTATGGCAACCACTTCATTTAATCCCTTCTATAAATAGATCCAAGTTCCAATTTAGAAAGCTAGGTTTTTTGCCTCCACTATTGGAAAGTTGTTCCAGAACCTCACGCCCCTGCTGGCTAGAAACCCATTTCTAATTCCAAATCTACATATATTCATAACCAGCCCATACCCATTTGCTCTTGTGCCAACACTCTTTTTGCTTCAATACTTATACTTATTTTTCTCTTCCTGATATTCAACCCTCTCAAAAGCAATCACACCTTTGGTTGCTCTTCATTTTAACAGGCTAAGCAAGCCATGATCTTTCAGTCCACTCGTAATATAGGCTCCACATTGCCCTAAGCACCTTTGTACATTTTCTCTGCCCTTGCTTCAATATAAATTCACATTTCTTGAATGCAGGTGGCCAGAATCGCATGCAGTATTCCAGATGAGGCCTCACCAAGGCCCTGTATGATGGCATTAATACCTTCCTCTCTCTCTCCTGGAAATACTAAGTCCAATATTTATATATTTTTTATAGGTTTATAAAGCACTGGCAGTTCACGGTCATCCTATAATCAACTAACCAGATACATTTCTCCTCAGTTATTCCTAACTGATATGACCCCAGAAATTCATGCAATTCCCTAAGTGCCTGACCCTGTACTGGGCATTACTGGATTTCCCACTTTTCTTAGATAGAGGTAAACTGCTATTGCCCAATCAGGTAGTTCCACCCCCAATTTGACAGCTGTCTCAAAATTCTTGGTTTCAGGCCTACAGCTTTGGGCACCAGGTTTTTCCAGGAATCTGAGGTGTACCTGGTCCTGGTCTCCTTCCTTCCCTTGCACCTTGAGTGCAATAAGCTCCTTGAATTCTGATTTCACCTAGGCATGGTAACTTCGAGTTACCAGCAGCCAACCTGCCTCTGCCTCCATGCTGTACCATTGTGGTCCTTGCTGTAAACTGAAGCTAAGTATTCATTTAGTTTTGGGGCCATCCCTAGGTTATCTACAATGCCCCCTCCCTTCCCATTTTTGTTTTGTTTTTTTTTAATTTAAAGGCTCTTTGTCCATATTTAATTCTTTTTGCAAGTCCCAACTCAGCTTAACTTCTGGCAATTTCCAATGTATCTCTATACTCCCTGATGCAAGATATACAGTTTACAGCGTTCTTTGCTGATTAAGCATAGAGCCCAATTCCTTGTAGGCTCTATGCTTATTCCCAATATCCCAGTTACGGCAGTTATTTCTTCAGCTAGGTCTGGATCCCTTCCCTACAAATTGCTCTCTTATTTGGGATACAACTTTCAGAAATTCCTCTATATTAAACTCTCAGGATTTGTCAAGCCAGTCAACGTCACAAACCAGAAGCTTACCAAAGTTTTTCTTTGGAAATCAAGAACATTTTAACAGACCTTTTTTTTTGTATCCTTTCATTTAATTTACAGTGCATGTGCTCACTTACTCCCAAGTCCTTTTATAAAACCCTTGCTACTTGCCAAGTCTAAAACAGCATTACCTCTTGTTGGATCAATGACCATCTGATGAAGAAATCCATCAGCTATCACATCCAGGAGTATATGGGCCCCAACTGTTATAAATAGCATTTTTCCTCTAGTCCAAAGCTTTCCCAACTGGCAGCCAGCATGCAGCCCACAAGAGATTAAGTTGTGGCCCCTGGGCTCTAACCTGGCTGCAGACAGCGCAATGCAGAGGGAGTGGTAACAGCAGTCAGAGTCTCTAAGCTCCCACTCCCTTCTGGCTTCTGCTTCTTGTCCCTGCCCCAGGGAGTGGGCCAGTGTGGCATATAGGGAACTGAGGGTGATCCCAGGCACATGCATGCAGTGGTGGTGCTGCAGCTCTTGGGAAATGCCTGCAAGGTGCAGCAAAAAGGCATCTATGCAATCCAGGGAGGCCACTGCTCACCCTGATGCAGCCTGCGAGTGTACAGTGTCTGCTGGTGTGTCCCACAGGGTGTGTGGCCCATGGCCACTTAGAATTTGAACACCTCTGCTCTAGTCTATACGTAGGAAGTTAGCATCTCTCATAATGACAATTCCCTGTAGCAGTCATCTAACAACATTAGAGACTTCTCTCCATATCCAAATCCAGCCATTGAGATTTAGGGAAGACTCTCAGCACTATCATAGCTGAACCACATTTACCATCCTTTGACCTATGACCCAGACAGGTTCTGATTTATTCATGTTTGCTGTCTTTTTTTAAGTTTAATCACATCATTAAAGTACAGTGCTATCTCATGACCTTTACCTATATTTCTGTTTTCCTAGGCAGTACACTCTTTATAGGGCTATCAAGAATCATCTCACCAGCTTCTAATGACAAGAGATGAAAGGAGGAAGTAGAACATATAGATTCCCAAGGTGACTGTCCCACCACCTATTCCTCAGGGTTAGCCAGTCTGCCTTGTTCATCTCTGAAGAGGAAATAAGCCTTCCTTTAGCCATTAGGTGGAAGTATTTCTGATAATTCTAGCTGCATTAACACACTGACAGAGACTGCATTTGTGGCACCTGCATTCGCCGGAAGGATTTGAGTCTCAGACTGCAGACATGCTCCCAGGCACCAAAACCTACAAGAGAAAGAGTCCATACAATATGGAGAAAAACATGCACTGGTTACTGCAAGACTAAAAAATTGAAGTCAAACGTATCTTCCTCTCTTCTCTCATCTCTGTCGTGGGTGCTGACTAACGAGGTAATCTGTCTCCAAACCATACTGGGTTGACATTGATGCAAGCCAGAAAGAACTATCTATCTGCACAGGGCCACTGAAGGCCTAACGTCACAAATTTTGTGTAGTAAACATTCTTCATCTTTCACTATCCTTTCTCTGGGTTCTGAGAGGGAAACAGAGATGGAGGGATCTGACTGGCCTATGACACAGAGGAGAACTTGCAGAGTACCTCTGGAGACTGCATCATCCTCCCCACTGATAAAGCTAGACTCTTCCTCTTGTCACCCAACCAGGCCAGAACCATTTTCTATTTTCCCTTCACAACCACTAAATCTTTCCTCTCGTTTTGCTAAAACACTTGCCCAGAGCTTGAGCATTTCTAACCTCAGTTTCTACAATTCCTGATCTAGCCTAACTTCCCCAACTAACACTGATCAGATGAATTTCTGTTTGTTTTTTTCTTGCCTTCCAGATATTATTCAAGCTGCCCATTTTCAAAATGCTACTAGTTCTTTCATGGTCTACATCTCAACCTTTATTTTCTTCTGGCCACTCTCCCATTGCCTAAACCTTCTTCAAGTCACTACCTCTGTACTCCACCCTCCCTACACTCTCTGCTTTGCACCTTCCTTCAGTCAGGCCTTTGGCCTCAACTGTACATATTTTTTTTCCTGAGTTTTAGGGCTAAACCCTAGCATGGTATTGTTTTGCAATTATTAAGCAGAGATGGCCTTTCACTTCATAGCTGGCTGTATTCTGGCAATGGATGAAGTGATACCTGCTTGTAATTAGAACTGATTGAATCTTCCTGTTGTTTCTTATTTTGTTTTTGTTATTTAAAAAATAAAAATGGCTTTAAGGAAAATCAGCTAATAGCTCACCATTTTTTCAGCAAAACTGACTAAAGAATTTAGCTTTCCTTTGCTACAGTGAATTCTTAGGGCTTTTCTTTTCTAGCTCCCCTCCTTTTTCTAATGAAAAACAAAAAAAGTAGGTTTCTATTTCAAACAAAAAAATATTTTCAGAAAAAATGGCTTCATACAAATTGCCATTTTCTAACCAGCTTTATTGGAGTTTTAACCAGACAGGATGGAGTTACCCAAAGTTGGGCTGGACATTATCATTAGAATGCCCCAGGAGAAGAAGTCAGGAACTTTGATCTGTGTCTCATGACAGTACCATGCAACATTCAGCTCCCAATTTCACAATGGAGCACTGGTTTCACATTTCAAACAAGCACATTAACTCTTTATTTCATTGGCACTCATCACAAAAGACAATGGCTAGATCTTCAACTTGTAATCTGGGCCTCAATGCCAGAGTGACAGCCTGGGAACTTGAGAATCAGTCTCCTTCTGTGTTTCAGGAGAAAAGGCAAACTATAACAATTGCACAGTCCCTGAAGAGTGAACCAGTACCCTCAGGAAAGTGGTGAGACATAGACTATACTAGTGTATTGGAAGTTTCATTTGCCCAGCCAAGATTGTACCTGTTCAATGAAGAGGGTATTCTGGTTCCACAGCTGGCACTGGTACTAGCACTAGAGCCATACAAAAAAAAACAAACCCAAAGTCTATGCAAAATAAAGAAAGCAGAATGTGAAGCCATGCACCTACTGCAAATAAAACCTGATTTAGGCACCTTGATTTGGGCTGCACAGTAACAAGAAATGGAGACTGAGAATGACTGAAGTCAATTTAAGGTTAACAGTCTAATTCTGACTATAACACACACACACACACACACACACACACACACACGACTCACAAAAGTAAACCATTTCCAACCCAGGACTGAAGAGTGATACTTACTACTGAGAAGGGTCACTGAGCCAGGGGAGATGGAACTGACCCTGTTACTGTAACTCTCAGGCAAATGATCAAACACTTTCCTAGGACCCGCTTCCAGTAGCACAATTTTCTTATCACGGAAATGGACGTCATGTCCTGAAAAAGGTAAACATTATGATACTTGCATAAAAACATATTTCTTCTTCTCTGTATCAAGATCTCCCAGGCACTTTATGATTAGATGTTCTTGAATAAAAGCCCATACAGGGAAAATGAAGAATTCTGACTAGATAAAAAAGTATTAATATTCTGAAGATGCCAGTTCTAGTTAAAGTTGAGGTCTGCTTTGTAAATCACACAGGGATTCAACCTCTGGTTTGTATGAAAAATACACCCTCCCACCCCACAACTTCTTGTATTTGGCATATATGACATACCTTTTCATAGATTTCATAGATCATGGGACACCTTCGATCTGGTGTCCCATGATCGCCTCTTGCAGAAACTGGCCAATTGTCGCCTTGGGTCCTCCACGATCCACTGGCTGG